AGAAACATATAAATTTTGCTTTTTTCTAGGTATATATATATATATATGAAGGCGCTCAAGTTATAATCGGCAAGTAATTTTTTATCGATATAGCAGCATAGACCGAGTTCTTTAGCCTTGGATGGCAACTGGTCTACCGTAGAAAAAATCTGCCTCCTCAGTCATGTATCGAAAGATACCTGATCGCCTGAGCGTGTATCACGCATGGCACATAACTGAAATAATCATATAGTTTGTTAGGTTTAGAGTCCCATATTGCTTGTTATTTTCTTTTGATCTTTTTTCTATGTGCCGTGACCCTTTAGGACGTTGGTGATCGCGGCTTTCCATTATTTCCTGTTTTTTTTGTAGCTCTTAATAAATTTTGACGCGTTGTTACCCCTCCTAATCACTAGCTCGTTATCCATTTACTTAAGAACGCAAAGTGATGTGTTGTTTTCCTGTCATGTAAGTATCAAATAGAAAATTTGATTCTTTTTTTCGTTAGCTGCCCCAGAAGTTATTTTGATATTCTTATTGTTTAATCATTTTACTCCAGGCAAGGCAATAAAGCCACTAAGACATTACTGCATGTTAGGGAACATGAGATAAAACAAAAAACAAAACACTATTAAGGAAAGAGAACAATGAAAGAACAAGAATTAAGAAGACAAAAAATAACGATTGACATTGCATTTAAATTTTTGAAGGTCAAAGTTTGGGAAGCAAGAAGCCGGAAGAGCATTCCACAAGCGAGAAGTGCGATAGAAGAAACTGTTAGCAAAGAACTTACGGTTACATCTCTGGCCATTTCAACTGTAAAATGATGAGACCTTACCGCCAATCTAGTACTGCACTTAAATTCATAAAGTCTACGTACCATAGAGGGAAGTAATATTTATTTTCAATAATACAAAAATGTGGCACAAGGCCAAAAGGGGGGAGAGGGAGGTCTCGTTTTCAATCTGTCAATCTTAGTTAGCCACGATTACTAACCTAAACATACCACAGTATTCCTTATACAAAACAGCCATAGAGAAAAAGTTTATCAGAACAATTACCATGAAAATATTTATAGAAAATGCAAAAGGAAGCTACGTTACGGTGAGAAGATGACTGAAGCTGAGATGCCAAGTCAGGACCAGTAAAATTGCAGATTCTTCCTCAGATTTTATCAAGAATATAGTGCAGGATCACCAGACCACATGTGCCAGCACTATTCAAAGGATGGACGAATGGTACACTTATAAATAGGAAATTATTTGGTCGGATTGATTGTGAGTATGTAACCCTGGGTTTCACGCTTTTGCAAATATGTTAGCTCTATCTCTGATATTGAGCGCTTTCTAATAAGTACCGCGCATGTAATATATAAATAATAATATATATAATATATTATACATATATATATATATTTATATTTATATACACACACTTTTCACATATAAATGGGTAATTATAGATTCGGGCGAGAAAAATTGTCTAGCGTGACACAGGGAAACCAACTTTCCTAGCAGAAGATCTAGTAATTGATTCAGCATAATCTTTCCACTTAGCGGAAAATGTTAGCACGAGAAGACGCAACGAGTCGCTCTCCTGGAGGTTAGCATCAGCCATGCTGGTGGAAGGTAGAAAGTGTCTCTCTGATGAACAGTTTCGTTTTAAGGGCGTTAAAATTAACAAGACATTCCTTGTCCCATTTAACAACCGATTGTAGGTCATTTTTGAGATCTGAAGCCAATTTGACCATATCGAACATATTAGACGTATTATTAATACAGGAGAACGTGTTTTTCCCATCAGCATAGATACCGAGTTAAGAACTTTTGTCGGATCATTTCTGTTAATTTATCCCAAATAATGTAAAGTTACTTATCATAAATATTAATTTACACCAAAAGATTATAGATTTTAAAATCAAAGTTTGTTTTATTTTTTTTATTAAATTGTTGGCGCACTTTTGAAATTATAAATTTTAAATCAAAATTTGTATAGTTTGCCTTGCACAACTCAAACCATCAGAATGAAAATTTACCAAACATTCAAATTTCGTAAGTGCGGATGATATTCGAGGTACCTACAAGTTTTTTTTTTTATAATTTAAAAACAAGAAGAAAAAAATCTTTTATAGCTTGTTTATCGGGGTGAGCGCGAATGCAGACCCCACACTTAGAAATAGCTTACCCGAGTCACCCACATTTGAAGCGATCGCAAATGTCAAGCCAACCGGAGTGCAATGGATGGGTCTCGCTCTGGCAGAACTTGGTGCAAATTTTAGTAAATATAAATTCTTTTTTATTTTGGTATGAATTAATATTTTGAGGTGAATTAACAGAAAAGATCCCTGATGTTACAAGGAAAGTCATTGATGAAAACTAGCAAAAAACGTTGGTCTGTGAGGACCTATTACGCACGAACATATATACATACAAGCATACAAATCACATTTACAATGCCAAGCATTCATTGGTTAATAAATCACCACTACATTTCTACAGGCAATTTACAAATCGCAGTAATGCGACAATTTTGTAATCGCTCTATTTTTAAGTAGTCAATTTTGTGCACTTTTGGGAGAAGTGGATCACAGAAGCTTTCTTAAGTCTCCCCAAAGATCGCTCGCTGGTTGGTCGATACCAACCAATCAGATCGTTTGCACGTGAAGGATAATTCTTCCCGCGCAACGATTTGGAGCCTATAGTCGCTTATTTAAGCCAAGATATTTCTCATCTCAATTAGTGAGAACTCAACTGCCAAACGAATCCACGACAGTTGAAACCATGCGCCAACCTTCTCACTCAGACACACACACACACACACACACACATGCTGAACATAACTTGTACACACTGACAAAAAACTCTTCTTACACAGCAATATCTTTCAAGAAGAATCATTACAAAAGACTCTCATGAACATTTTCCCAGTGAACTTTAAACCAAATAACTATCTCTCACTGAACTCTAAAATAACAGTTAAAGAGAGGCAACTCTTGGTTAATTCAACCTTTCTTACGTAAATGCATGTTTTCTTTTACATCGTTGTTTGATATTGTACATCTTGTTAAAATACAGTGTAACCCGGATATAAGAGAAACCCGGATATAAGAGAGATTTTCTCTGGTCCCAAATTAGAGCCTGTGTTAATGTATATAAAATAGACCAAACCCGGATATAAGAGAAACCCGGATATAAGAGACTTCTTCTCCGGTCCCGACAACTCTCTTATATCCGTGTTACACTGTACATATTTTATGTGTAACAATGTCTTTTGGTTATCCTTCTTACGTGAGCCTTGTTTTCTAATCAAAAGTTAAATTAATGTGATGAAGTCCGCCACAGGTTTAAGGTTAGAGCCCTAGAGAACACATGCCATAATAGAGAATGATCTAGAAGAGTGGCCGTTCAGAACAACTGTACTTTTATTTTGTTTCTGAAGTTTATTTTATTTCAAAATTACTCGAGGAATAGGACTCATTTGTATTAATACACGGAAAAGTATATTAATTCTATGCATTGAAAACGAGGCGAATAATGATTGGCTATGGTTAGGAATTAATGCAAGCCGTACAACCAAAAATACGGCTAATATGTATGTAGATCCGAGTTCAAATTTGTCTATATCAGTCTATTTATATCTGCCTCTCTGAACCAATTCATATCTTGTTTAGTTTATTCACATCTATCATAGTATCCTAATATCTATGCGTTTATCCACTTGCTTGCTAGTTGGCTTGTGGTAAAATACCGCTGCGCATGCGTATCTGAGCCTGTTGCAAATTGGAGACATATTTGCCACTTTTATCAGACGTCGCTCCTTATATCTATAAATATAATTTTCGAATCGCGCTTGGTGCCAACCTTGGGACATAGCAGACTGCGCGTCGCCAGCGTTGTCGTCTGCTGTTCCTCTGCACAGGCGGTCAACATTTTTTTCCCCAATTTTATCAGCTTCATCGGGTGGTACCGTCGTAGGTAAGAGGGCCGCATCTGGCGGAAAAGAACATGGATTCAGAAGACCATAATCAGTTAAGTTGGCGGCGAAGAAGAAGATTGCATAACTGGGACTTAAAATGGAAAAGAAACTTTCATTTTTGTAGGCGTAAAATCGGGCGCAGTCTTACGAGTACATGAAGGAATTTACCTTTTTATACTAAAATTCACCAAATCTAAGGCTCAAGTGCCAATCAAGGTAGAATGTTACTATTAAAATGGTTATTGTATGGTGTGATATGCGTGAAGGAAGAGGTGGTAGGTAGTTAATATTATGAGGATAAGGTGGATATATACCTACTGACTCTTGAATTGAAGACGTTAAGATTTTATTAAATTTTAAAGATATTAAAGTAGAAAACATCTCTACATTCTTGTAGACATAAAAACGAACGCAGACATGCAGGTACGTGAAGGAATTTACTCTTTTGTGTTATTACAAAGCTCGGGAGCCACTCAAGGTAGAGGGTTATTAAAATATTTATGATGAATGAAATGTGATATGAATGTAAGTAAGGATGAGGATAAGAAAGATAAAAAATAATTGATCCTTGAGAATTGAAGAGGTTATTATTCGAGAAAGCATCCACGCAGGAGTCTGTTCTACAAAGCAGATGTTTTTGGGGAACATTTCTCCTTAGATTTGGAATACGGAGGAAATGAGGAGGATTCGACACTTTGGAGGTAGCATGGTGTATTTTAGGTGTAAATGTATTAACTGGTGGAACAAAGAATGTAACTCATCTTAACATTTGCCATGGAAATAGCGATAGAATATTAATGTTTAAAACGTTGAATTTGTAGGCAAGTAACTGCCGAGTAGAGAATGCGATTTCCCCAACAGGACTGCCTAAAAGATTTCAAATTCTATCGGGTTTTGGATAGTGAAGACTGAGCAGCTCCGGCCCAGATATGGTAGCAACAAGTCATGCTCGGTCTAATCTGACTCTTGTAAAGATAAAGTATGTAAAAAAGAGTCAGATTAGTTTAGCCCGGCACAAGGTCATGGTCCTTTGCACGAGAAAACCGATGATGCGAAACGAACATTGTAATCATTATAGGTATGTACTGTATAATTGATGTTGGGATACATATTGGCTAAGCTTAGCATCTATCTGATTTGTCCTTTATATTTTTTGTTATACTTTCTTTCTTTCTTTCTTTCTTTATCTATCTATCTATCTATCTATCTATCTATCTATCTATCTGTTTTGCCCTTATATTTTTGTTACACTTTCTTTCTTTCTTTCTTTCTTTCTTTCTTTCTTTCTTTCTTTCTTTCTTTATCTATCTATCTATCTATCTATCTATCTATCTATCTATCTATCTGTTTTGCCCTAATATTTTTGTTACACTTTCTTTCTTTCTTTCTTTCTTTCTTTCTTTTCTTTCTTTCTTTCTTTTTCTATCTATCTATCTATCTATCTATCTATCTGTTTTGCCCTTATATTTTTGTTACACTTTCTTTCTTTCTTTCTTTCTTTCTTTCTTTCTTTCTTTCTTTCTTTTTTCTTTATCTATCTATCTATCTATCTATCTATCTATCTATCTATCTATCTGTTTTCGCTTATATTTTTGTTACATCCTTCTTTCTTTATCTATCTGTTTTGCCCTTATATTTTTGTTACACTTTTTTTTTTCTTTCTTTCTTTCTTTCTTTCTTTCTTTCTTTATCTATCTATCTATCTATCTGTTTTGCCCTTATATTTTTTATTACACCCTTCTTTCTTTATCTATCTATCTATCTATCTATCTATCTATCTATCTATCTATCTATTTTGCCCTTATATTTCTGTTACACCTTTCTTTCTTTCTTTCTTTCTTTCTTTCTTTAACAAACGCTTTTATCCACTGTGCCATGTGTTTGCCGAAACGTTGTGATAAACATGTCGACAAAGATGAGGTCAATAATGTAATAGTGTATATAATACCTCATCTCAGAAACATAGGCAGGGAAAATCTGACATACCGTTAGTCCCTAAAGAAATCCCCATCAGCATCCAGAACCTTTTGCCAACGTGTCTCCAGCTGGGCAGTGCCCTGGTGGTAAGAATCAGGTGTCTTGGACGCGAAGAAGTCTGTAAGTGTCTGCTTCATTTGCGACGGAATGGAAGACGTGGTAATCTGGTTGCACAAGGTCTGAGGAGTAAGGTGGATGGCACAGTATCTTCCAGCCAAGTCGCCGTATGGTATCCTTGGCCACACGAAGCCTGGCATTAACATGAAGGAACAATAAATCCTTACGATTAACGAATGCAGGTTCCGTATCCTTGGGTGCCTGTTGCATGCGTTCCAACGACTTCAAGTGCAAGTCTGCAATAATGGTTTTTCCTGTTGGTAGCAGCTCATAGAGCGCCACTTGATGACTGGTCCACCAGAAACAGGGCATGATCTTGTGTGATTGGGGGTACACTTGGGCGTATCATGCAGGATCAACTTTACGTCGCTGGTGAGCACATAATTGAATATAGCTCCGTTGCAGTGCCGAGAATTCAACGAGAAATAGGCTGTAACTCGTTACTTGTTGGCTTCCGAAAGTGTGCAGGGTACCCACTTGTTCAACCTGCATGTCTTCCCTATACAGTGCAGGTGAAGTCTATTACATCAGAAAACTGTAAACGTCCGACAAGCTCACCACAGGGTTGAATGTTTTCCTGCTCTATAGCCGTCTTTAGGGCCTCATCATCCATAACCTCTAGCCGGCCAGTGAGGGGTTTAACACCAAGGACATATCATTACTTCTTATTAATATAAACGTTATTTTAAGTCGGTAAACGTGTTTGAGTTGCTATTCCTGTTTTTATTTTCTTAAACAATGAAAATTAATAACAAACGGACTAGATTGAGAATTCATACTAAACAAAAATTTGTGTCTTCCGGCATTTTTTTCCATCAGTGAAAACCGCTTCTATAGCCGAAATCTGCCGCCAGCAGTTTTGATAGAACAACGTTTGAATTACCTATTCAAAGACAGCATATCTCTCGTTGGGACTTCAATTAATCCATATCTGCTAGCCTCTGTTTCGTATCGGGCCGATTTCTAAATTTTCGGAAAGTTACCCACTGAAAAGAATGTCCAAAATCTTTCAAGTTTAATAATACTTTTTCTCTTTGATTTTTTTAAAAAATTATTGTTATTTTTTTTAAATTCTTTCCTTCGAGATTTTATTCTCGCTTTTTCCTTTTTGGTTCACTTGACACTTTTGCCATTTTTCTTTTCCTTTTTTCCCCAAACTTATCCTTCTTTTTGCTTCTTTCATTCTTTTCTTTCTATTTTACCAAGACTTATTCTCTTCTTTAGCCTTTTGATACAGTTTAATTCTTCTTTTTCGTTTTTCTTTCATATCTTTATTTTTCATTATCTCTCTTTTTCACATTTTTCTTCATTCTTCTTCCTCCATTCAATGTTTTCCTTCATTTCTATTCTCTCCTTTTTTCTATTCTCTTTCATATTCATCGCTTATTCCGAGACTCATTTCTTGCTTTGTGCATTGTTTCTTTTAGTTCATTCATTCATTCACTGAATGAAATTCTTCCTTTTACTTATTTTTTGCTTCTTTTTCGTATTGTCCTGCTTTTTCCTTTTCTCACACCAATGCTCTTCCTTTTCCGTTCTCTTAATTCAATTTCTTTTCATATCACTATCCTGTCCTTTCTTGCTTGCTTTCTTTCTTTCTTTCTTTCTTTCTTTCTTTCTTTCTTTCTTTCCGTCATCCTGAATTTCTTTCTTTTTTCTTTACACCTTTTCCTTCGCCAAACAGACTTTTTTCTATCTCCTTTTTCCTAGCTTTTTTTTCTTTTTTCTTTCCATCTTTTCCTTCATCAAGCAGACTTTCTTTCTTTTTTTGTTCATCATACTTTTCCTGTCCTTCGTTTCTTTCCTTTCTTCATTGTCCCTTTCATTTCTTCTTCTTCTTCTTCTTCTTCTTCTTCTTCTTCTTCTTCTTTTTTCGTAACTCTTTCTCGTTGATTTTTTTTCTTTTTTGCCTCCATTATTCTTCTTTGATTTAATTCTTTTTCTTCTTCTTTGGTATCCTCTGAGTTGAGTTTGTCCATATTTACTTAGCAGACGTAATTCTGTCTTGCCCAATTAAGATCGTAAAGCTGGAAGATTTCAACATGGCGAATCGTCGTTATAGACTTATGTACAAATTCCCCCATCTAAACATTCGCCTAACACCGGCGTTTTAATAACAGCCACCTGGAAATATTTGCCAACGCACTTCATTATATTCAAGTGTCTTCTATTAGAAGTGAGCAACATATGGTTCTTATTTCGTTGCTGTTTTCAAATGTATCACCTGTCAAGTCAGTTTTGGGGGTTTGTACTCAACAATGGACTCCTTGAGAGCTCAAAACTTTTGCATGTACTTGGATAACCCAATCGTAGTAGACACTGGGCTTGTGTCTAATCTGAAATGTCATTGTGACTTCATAGTCAATTTGTAAAAGAACAAAAATCTTTAACCGTAGATGTATTTTTTGCGAAATCAAAGTCATATTTATGTCTATATCCAGGACGTAGATGATCATGGATCTCCACAAGTTCCTATCCTTTGTAGCACTAATTTAGTTTACTGTGAATCAACCGTCTCTGTCCGATTCTAAATTCCTTTTTGTTTTTGTTTTCCTTAAAACTTCTTCGTTGCTCACTTGTTCCGCCAATGGAATTCTCAGCATCCTTCTGCAGAAATATTTTTTTATGTTGTCTCAAATCTCCTCTTCATCTGTGAAGAAAATATTCAGGATCCACTGCCGAAAAGGAGGGCTGATATTATATAGACTCAGTGGAAACAGGGCGAGCAATAGATGCCTCAACGAACAATCGGAAAATTAGTAGAAAACTGTTTGAACTAGTTAAATTACATCATAACAGATACACCGAAAGTTGTGATCATCCAAAGGAAAATTAAAATGTTATTACTTTATGAAACTTCACAACTCTACATGTCCGCTGACGATACTCTTAATATTATCCGGAGCGGACAGGCCCATCGAGTGACACTGATTTGTTTCAAAAGGAAAGTACGTCTTTAAAAATAACCTATTATTATGAAAATTATAATAATAACCTATTATTATAGAAATGACATTAAACTTGTGATATGAACTGGGAATGACCGGATGTCAGCCATTTTGTCCTAACTGGAGTTGTTTTATCAGCGAATTTTAATAAAGTGTTTTAAAAACATTCGTTTTTCGATCACATTTGCGACTCCAGGGGCAATGCGTGGATCTGTTACGTCAATAGAGGAACTTTTCATGGACAGTGAGAGTGACAAAGAAATATTTACCTACGCAGATATCGGTGATTTGTGTGACTGAGACTGAAAATGATTCCGACCAAGAAGGAGGAATTTTCGAATCATCACAAGCATACCATCACCCATGGCTACCAGAGTTTTCTTATCGTCCTGAACCTACAAATATTGATCAAGTAACTAGTAAGGTAGACGTTTTTCGTCATTTTTATCTGACGAGGTTATTCAATCAATGGTAGTGGAAACTAACCAGTATGCAAATGATGTGAAAACCAAATTAGGTGACACAGCAAAGCCCAATTTGCAAATCAGAGCTTGGAAAAATGCTTGCTTTGAAGAAATGAAAGCATTTTTGGCTTTGCTTTTGTTCCTAGGTTTGATAAAGCAACTTTTGTATTCTTCTTACTTGAAAACAGAACCTCTTTTATATATGTAAGGTTTTCATAATGTGATGAGTAAAAATCGTTTTTTATCAATTTTGTCGTATTTCTTTTTTAGTTTTCATGATTTTTACTTTTTATTTAAAATTTATTAAATGTACAGTAAAAAAATGTCTACATATTCTACCTCCTTTCATGCATATACACTGAAAATTTTATAACAATATCTCTAAAACCGTAAAAGTTACAGTGTTAGTAATATACCCACCATTCAAAAACTTACCACATCCAAAATTAATATGGATTCAGGGGACACAACTCTGCAGAGTTGTAAAGTTTAAAAAAAAAAAAAAAAAAAAAGAAAAGAAAGGATTACGAGCTTCTCGTTGCGAAGTAATGTTTAAAGTGCCTAACCTGACTGGCCATTTAACAATGAGTTCAGACGTCACTGGGTACCCAATAGAAAATTCGCGTAAATAACCCAACGATGGTCAACATGTGGTAAAACCAATTACCAAGAGGCTGCCAATCTTAACCTTCGAGCCCCCCAAAAAAAAAAAAAAAAAAAAATAACCCCAAAAACGGTCTGTCAAAAGGGACGGTTTTTCCCTTGGCACTATTATTATTTTACCAACATTCGCTTCCCGGCAATGCTTATTGTTTTAAAAAGCGATGATCATAATTTTAATAAAACCTAAACATATGAAAGTTAATTTATGTATTTGATTTGTTCTTGAGAATTCATAATTAATAATAATAATTATTTATTTGATTGTTTATTTACACTATTTATTTATTGTATTGTTTATTGGAATGGTTGGCAAAACATCGGCAAACCAATCGATTCAAACTTTATAAAATGGTAAATAATAAGGATTTCCTTATTTTTGGTTCATATATTTGAATAATTTAGTAAATGTTTATAAATTTATGAATAAAAAATCGTTTTCATATTTATTTCTTTAAATTGGTAAATGATAAATATTGCGTTGAATTAGTTTTAATTGTATTAGTTTTAGAATGTTGTAAATATAATATTATTCTTGCAAATGAACAATCTAGTAAATAATGTTTGATATTTTTGTTGTAAATTCTCAAGAACAGTAAAAAAATCAGTTTTAACATAAGTTTAGGTTTTATTGCAATTCTAATCATGGCTTTTTAAAACAATAAGCATTGCCGAAATGTGAAGGCAGTAAAAAATAGCGGTGTCAAGGGAAAAACAATCCTTTTGTAACACCCCTTTTTTTTGTTGTGCACGAATGTTAAAAACTGACGAATTCCTTTACTTCTCGTTTATTAAAATCTTCTTCTTCTTCTTCTTCTTCTTCTTCTTCTTCTTCTTCTTCTTCTTCTTCTTTGTATCGTGTCCCTTCAGGACTTGGGCGATCATTGTATACCACAACTTCCTATTCTTTGTAGCTCTTTAGTAAGTTTTGTGTTTTTACTGTTATTTCTAATCACTGATCTGCCATCTATTTACTCAAGCAGGCTAAGTAGGTTATGTGTTGTTTACCCCTCCCCCTCTTGTTCTACGAATTTCAAATTCTCTAAGCCTTCTTTCCTCATCAGGTGTCCTATAAATTTCACCTCTCTCTTTATGATTTATATATAAGTGTCCTTTTTGCTTCCATTTTACTTAAAGCGTCTTTCTTTCTCACATGTTCCGTCCGTGGTATTCACAATATCCTTCTGTAGAACCAAATTTCTCTTGGCTCAAGTCTCATTTTCATCTGTGAAGAGATAGTCCAGCATCCACTGCCATTTAGGTGGACTAATATTGCACAACAGTCAAGCCCTCTTTTTTTTTTGTTTCTAATTAAATTTTCCTGTTCCTTAATACTTTGTTTAGCTTTTGGAAGGCATCTTCTGCTATTTCATCGCCGTTTCGGATTTCGTTGTCATATTTTCTCGTTCTCTGCTAAAGTTTAATACCATTTTCAAAGATGAAAAATTGAAAAAAAATTTTTTATTTTTTTTATTCTTATAACTGTAAGATTATTTTTTTATAAGGAAGTTCAAAAAAGAAATTATTCTATGAGTGCAAACATTTAACAGAATCAATTCAATAAATCTTTATCAAATTTTCCCATTTTTGTAGCACGTCCGTTATTTTAATAAATTTTTAAATCAGAATAATTGAAAAAGACCTCATTAGTTGTAATTAAATATGGCATCAAACAGGTAAGCAAATTAAAAGAAAATAAAAGCAATTTTAAACCCCAAAATATAATTTAAGTAATCCGAAATTAATTTCATTTTTATACTTCTAATGGATTATAAAATATAAAATATATTTTAATAACTCCCAGAAATCCAGACATAAATCATCATATAATAGTTGTGCTAGGCCCCTTCTTTGTTAATTCGCACAACCGTCACGTCCTGCCAATACCTTATAAATAATAGACTGCTCCGTTTTGATCGCGTGAAAAGAGGGGAAAGATCTTACTTGGTTTCAGTAAGAACATGAAAGGAAGGAAGGAAGGAAGGAAGGAAGGAAGGAAGGGAAATCTAAGTGTTTAACGTCTCCTGCCAATACCTCATAAATAATGGGCTGTTCCGTTTTGATCACGTGGAAAGAGGGGAAAAGATGCTACTTGGTTTCAGTGAGAAAATAAAACAAAGAAAGAAAGAAAGAAAGGAAAGAAGGAAAGATAGAAAGAAAGAAAGAAAGAAAGAAAGGGAAATCGAAGTGTTTAACGTCTCCTGCCAATACCTCATAAATAATAGACTGTTCCGTTTGATCACGTGCAAAGAGGGGGAAACGCTTCTTGGTTTCAGTGAGAAAATAGATGAAAGAGAGAAAGAAGTGTGTGTTGGAGTGGATAGAAGTGTTTAACGACTGTTTCAGTGAAATGGAAAAAAGTTGTCAATCACAAATCTTTTTATTTGTACCCCTTGCTTCTTCAAATAACAACCAGCATTCATATTTATGATTGTTCTTGCAATATTTTTAAAAATCTTGTTCAGCTCAAATATTTAATGATGCGACATGGGAATTTCTAAAGATATATTATTGTCTTATTCAATCATTAACTTAACAATTAAGATCCGATTATTAAAATAGGAAAACCGTGAATTTTTCATGGGATAAAACTAGTTCCAATCAGTTTCATCATATAATAGTTGTGCTAGGACCCTTCTTTGTTAATTCGCACGACCGTCACGTCCTGCCAATACCTTATAAATAATAGACTGCTCCGTTTTGATCGCGTGAAAAGAGGGGAAAGATCTTACTTGGTTTCAGTAAGAACATGAAAGACGTATAAAATAAAATTTATTTTCTTTAACTATCGGTTATATGAGGTTAAAGATAACTTATTTTTAAGTAGAAACAATACTAATTTCTAGATAGTAGTCCTTTTGATCGTCCGTAGTTTTTAAAAATTTTACGCACGTTTTAAGATGACAGTAGAAGACGACGAGCGCTTTGAGGTGACAAGAGAAGTGACAGTTTTTAATCCTGGTGACAGCTCCTGTGATACTGTACATAAATACATATCATTTTCGCGATGTTTTAAGAAAAAAGTAAGCATTGCTTTTAGAAAAATCCAGTTAATTAATCCTTAAATTGACTATTTTACTCTGGAATGAATATCTAGGGGAAAGATTGGATTGTTAAGAGATTTTTAAATTTGTTTTCATTTTTCATCTGAAATGGAGATTCGATGTGTCGGGGGCAAAAGTGCCAATGTTTTAAATAGGTTTAAAAACTATAATTTTTATTCTTCTGTGTGCCGTATCCCTCCAGGTGATCATGGCTCTCCACAATTTCCTCTCCTTTGTAGCTCGTACTAAATGTCTCTCTTAAACCTCGGTCCGCCATCCATTTACTTAAGATCTTTAGATAGGTTATGTTTTTTTTTCTGTCCCTCTTTGCCTTCAACCTACGCCTGGGAGTATCAATTTTCCAAACCTTCTTTCCTCATTATGTGTCCTAGAAATTTCAACTGTTTCTTCCTGATGTTAAGTATAAGCGTCCTTTCTGTTTCCATTTTCTCTAAAATTTTGTCGTTGCCCACGTATTTAGTTCATGGTATTCTCAGCATCCTTCTGTAGAACCGCATATCTGATGCTTCAATCTATCTCTAACGAGATTCTCCAGCATTTACTTCCATATAGGAAGACTGATGTTACGTTCTTTACTCTTTTCTTTGTTTCTAATGATTGTTTTTGTTTCTTAATACTTTGCTTAGCTTTTGGAAGGCATATTTCTCTATCCCATCGGATTTCGATGTCGCATTTTCCATCTTCTGTTATACGCATATTTAATTTGCTTTGTTTTAATGATTAGCTTCACTATCTTTCTATTAGTAGCATTATCTTTCAGTAGCTTTATCTTTCAAATAAAACCAAAAATTAACTTCGAATAAGACATTTAAATTATAAATAAGAGGGGAAAAGACGCTACTTGGTTTCAGTGAGAAAATAAAACAAAGAAAGAAAAAAGAAAGAAAGAAAGAAAGAAAGAAAAAAAGAAAGTGTTTAACGTCTCCTGACAATACCTCATGTGACGAGATTTTCCAGCATTTATTTCCATATAGGAAGACTGATTTTACGTTCACTACTCTAGCTTAAATGTTTGCATTGAGTGCGACTTTTATGTTAGATCCTGCGAAGGGCTAATTGAACTTCTAGCTCAAAACTAAAGGGATCTCTGGTCCAGCTTAGAAAACAGCAATGATGATTTATTTCCATGTAGGAAGACTGATTTTACGTTCACTACTCTAGCTTAAATGTTTGCATTGAGTGCGACTTTTATGTTAGATCCTGCGAAGGGCTAATTGAACTTCTAGCTCAAAACTAAAGGGATCTCTGGTCCAGCTTAGAAAACAGCAATGATGATTTTGAAGAAATAACTTTGAATTCCTCAATTCACTCCAGGGAATTTCAAAACCTCACATGAACCTGATTCAGGCTATAAGTCCAATTCCACGCAGAGAACTGATCTTGGGCGAAAGTCCGATTTGGGCCAAAAGTCCGATTTGGGCCAAAAGTCCGATTTGGGCCAAAAGTCCGATTTGGGCCAAAAGTCCGACTTGGGCCAAAAGTGCGGTCTGGGCCGAAACTCCGATTCAGGCTGGAAATTGAGTTCTTCAAATCATAAACTCTGTGGAATTTTAGAACCACATGTCACAAAACTTCTCACATTAACTTCAATTTCTTGACATTTTGAAGAAATAAAATTTATTTCCTTAATTCATAAAGGTCTGGAGATATTTTAAACTGAATTTAAAATATATTTTTTTGTGTTACTTTAAATTAAAAAAAAAATTTCAAATCACTAATTTTATCAGTTATTTTAAAATTTGAATTTTTGACTGTTCTCCTCCTCATCCGAACCTCAAACTCCGATGCTGGATGTTCAAGCACCAGATGAAGCGCAGGTTTTCCATCCTGAGATCACCCTGATTTCAAAAAGGCATAAGACCAATTGTGTGGTCCGAGTTAGAGAGAGTTTCAGAAACAGGGACTCACAGACATAATTTGCCGTTTATTTATTCAGATAGATGAAAATTTGTTTTTCTTTTTAGCAAGTCCATGGGGTGGGGGTGGCGGTAAATTTTTCTTGATTATTATTTTCCTTTTGTGCCGATTGTTTTGTAGATGCTTTGGGGTTGCAAATCTCTGTCGTGTCTGACTAGCCTTGGATTCTGAAAATAACGAGAAATTATGACTAAATTATAAAGTAAAGTTTAACAGAGACCTAAGCATCCACTTTCTTTTAGATAAGCCAGAAACGTGCATGAACGCTGACAGCCACAGCCACCCACACGTGGAACCAAAACAGATTTAAAGAAATAATAAAACAGATATTTGACCAATTACAAATTTTATTGCCAATATTTTTGTTAAATGTTGCTCGGTATTCACTTTTAGAATTTTTTCCGCTGTTTTTCTTTTTCTGCTAAATTGGTTTTTTTTTTTTACTTTCTTTTTTATTCATTTTATCATCGGTTTTTCTTCTTCCTTTTTTTCTTTTTTCTTTAAACCTTTGAAGTATTTTTTTCTCTTAAGTTTACTTTCACGACTTTTCTTTTTTACTTTTGTTTTTCTTTCAGACCACTTTCTTTCTTTCTTTCATTCTTTCTTTCTTTTGGCTTCTTCAATTTTTACTAGTTTTTTCTGGAACTTTTTATTGTCTTTTCTTTCTTTCTTTCTTTCTTTCTTTCTTTTTTCTTTCTTTCTTTCTTTTGGCTTCTTCAATTTTTACTAGTTTTTTCTTGAAATTTTTATTCTTTTTCTTTCTTTCTTTCTTTCTTTCTTTCTTTCTTTCTTTAGGTTTGAAATTATTTTCTTTTTCTTTCTTTCATTTTTTTACATCTATTTCTTTCTTTATTTGTTTCTTTTACATTTCTTTCTTTTTCTTTCTTTTCTTTCTTTCTTTCTTTCACGTCTCTATTTTTATTTTTAAAATAAGCATTCTTTCTTTATTTCTTTATTTATTTTACATCTATTTCTTTCTTTCTTTTACATTTTTTCTTTTTCTTTCTCTCTTTCTTTCTTTCTATTTATCTATCTATTTTTCTAATATTTTAAACGGTTACCCCCTAGCTTCCCTGAATTACACGAGTGATTTTTATAACGGTCGCTGACCGGAAATTTTGGTCGTAAAATGTTTTTGGCAATTCAGCCAAATTATTTGGAATTTCAAGGCAATACGACTTTCTACTTTTTTCCCCAAAAAGTTGCAATAAAATTACTTTTATACTTGCCAAGCTTCTTATTCACTGCCATTAAAGTAGTGACAATCCCTCATCGGCACAAAAATGTTAACCATGTCAGTCAGGGCAGTGAATGAAACACCCACACACATACGCACGCGCGCGCGCGCACACACACACACACGCGCGCACACATATATATATAACTAAATGGGTAAATATAGGTAGATGTACGAGCGTTTATTACTCTTGATAACTTCAGCGTCTCTTTCAAAAAGAATTTATAATTCTTATTTCCAACCTTATTTTCAATCTTAAATATTAATCTGGGCTTAAATTCAAATTCAAAATTAAATTACAATTCATTTAAATATTTTAACATCAATACTAACCCACCCTAAACAATAAAGTATCTTGCAATAACCAGGAATATTATAAAATGATGTTACCCCAAAATAAAAATACCAGCACTTGAAAAGTTGTGCAATTAATGTAAGGTATTATGTATAGTTCTTAATAGGTACCTCCGTGAGATCGCTAAAAATGAAAAAGACGCCAAACTTGACGAAAACAAAATTTTAGCGTCTAAATGTTTATGTTATTATTAAGAGGAAAGAACAAAGTATTTTTTAATTATTTTAACATTTTTTCCCTCTTTTTAGAACATTCTAAATTTTGATTGAAAAACCTTGTTTCTCTTCGTGTCCAGCGGAACTACTAAGTAACATATAAAATTTTAGCGCGTTTTTTTTCTGTATGACAGACATTAATTTTGAAAATTTTTCAAAAATAAAGATAATTGTCGGATTTTAATGAAACTTTCAGAAACTATTCACAAATGATGGAACTTGTATATTTTAAACCATATAAGTGGTGAAACATTTCAGAGGAAAGGACTTGCTGCCAAAAGAAACTTGATTAATAACCACCAGACACTTAGTTGGTCTTGAAATAGTCTTACTGTTATTACTGAACAGTGAATTAGGTTCTCACTGGGTGCACTTATAACTTTGGGCAAAGGGTAACAACTCTCACCACATGACACTCAAACATCATTTCTTTCTGAGTGATTATTGAGTGACTCACACTAATTCGACTGGATAGTTTCCCTTGATAAAGTGAAACTATCCAGTCGAATTAGTGTGAATTATTGTGCGTCGATGATTTGGGTTTTGATTTAGAATTTACCGGACATTAAGCTGAGCCACACTATTAACAAGGTATTCACTGAAATGGTTAATTATCTTTGGTTGACTTTTACTTCTTTGTTCTTGTAGAGCATTTGCGGCTTTAATTAAATACTGTTTTATCTTAACAATGAAGTCTTGAGAACGGCCACCGTATGTCACAAAACGTCCCTTTTTATTTTTACTCAATTCGTTTACAATCCGTATGCAAGCGTTTTGCACCCAGTAAAAATACTTTTGACATGGTTTAATTTTCAGAACCTTTTATTCTTGCGGAGTTGTATAAATGAGTGGCTGGAATCATTGCTTACGGAACTGTCTTAATGTTTCTTGAACGTATTTTGGTAAATAAATCTTGAACTTAAAACGTTGGTAAGCCTTCACTTGAGCGGAGTAAAATAAACTGTTATTCTCTGAACGGCATAGCATGAATCAAATAAGACCAAGGTATATACGCTCATTACAATTAGACATTTTTAGAACGAGTAATGGTGGAAGACGCAGCAAATAAATGCTGAACACACGGGGCTGTTCTTTTACCGCTGGCGCCAAACGAATTCTTGAAGATGCGACGTGAGCAACAACTTGGATGTTTCAAAATGTTGACGCTTGGTGCGTATCCAAAGAATTTTCAACGTTTTGGGAATAGTTGGGTATAATCCTCAGGATATACAAGATGCTTATGATGAATAACGTCCTTAACGAAACTTGTACACACACACACACACACACACACACACACACACACACACACATATATATATATATATATATATGGATATAGGGTAGATATAGATAGAATAAAATTCCGATAACCAAAAATACTATTTCACTATTTTTAAAAAAGGTTTCGCATTCAACATTATCACTTGATAAGGCACCAAAAGTGTTGAAACAAAATGTTTATTTTTGTAGTGATGTTATAACATGCTTATGTTATAATTTTTGAATAAATATTATATACATACATACATATATATATATATATATATATATATATGATAAAATATAGTTTTAAGGTATGCTATATTTATGGGTTAAAGCGCTCAATATCAGGGATAGAGCGTATGCAACTATAAAATGAACATTGAAGTCAACAGAGGCGACAGTCTGTTTCCTGCAAAACACAATCGACAATTTAATACGACAGTTTCTTTCGATGGCTTGACAATAGCGTTTAGCATGAAACAGACTGTCGCCTCTCGGCGTTGAGAAATACACACACACACACACACACACACACACACACACACACACACATATTATATATATATATATATATGTATAAATAAATAATGAAATGGACTAAGTCCGACAATTATAGTCACAAATTATAGACACAATTATTTAAGTAAATGCTCTGTTTATAATAAACAGTATTAATTACATTAATTGGCTTGAATGTCCGAGAAATTTCGTAGGAAATATGTGTCCTCCGACAGGAATCGAACCTGTATCCTACACGGAACCATCACTTGGTCTGACGTGCTGTATCATTTAGCTACAAAGGAAGCGCCTGTTTAGCAAATAAGATGTTTTATCGTCTCTCGCTAAACTACGTCCAATCGTGGAAATTGTCTGACAGCCATGGCTGGCTTCTCTTGCTTGTGTGGCATGGTGCAGAGTCTTGTTGCCAGACATAGGGTCTTCCAGAAGCCACCCTCTTGACCCAGGGAAGCAATACCTCCTCCAGGTACTTGATGTAGGCATCCATATTGAGTCTGAGGCCCTGTGGGAAGATGAATGAAGGCATCACGTTGACATCACTAGTGATCACTCCAAACATCTTTGTAATCACTATTAGACACATCCAAATCTTTCGAATCCTTCTGCATTGTCCTCAGATTGACACCGAAATACTCTGAAATATTCATATTCGAGCGTCGGGAGCGAATGCCAAGCAGTACAGCATGACTTTTCCAAATTTCTGGTGGAGTGAATTGCGTCATGGTGCTCTTTTTCTCACAGACGGTGCCTAACTGACTTTACTATACGGTGAAGTCAACAAAATCAAAAGCAAACAAAGCGCATGCGCGAAATTAAAAATATAAAATGGCGACAATTTAAGCACCGCACGCTGTATATATATTTCGCCACATATGCACACGCCGCGCAAGTGCTCACACACAGTCAAATAGTACGCAATTTCTGCTTCCACCATCTTTAATAAACATTTTAAAACGATCTTTCTCTGTTCTCCTCTACCATTAGTGCCGTTCAGCGCTTGCAAACAGATTCATTCGAAAAGCCAGTTCTTAGCAATGGCGCCAGATGTAATTTGTGTACAGGTAGCCGTGGCTTTTGAGTGGGTGGCTCTTCTCGTATTTGTTGGTCTACTGGGGGAACACGCAAGTCAGTGTCGAGGAGAATGTAATTGATTTTACGGTAACGAGTCATTAACTGCCCCATGAAGTTTCCTTAGGCATTCATCGATCATTATGCGATGGTCGAGTTTTCTTCAAGAATTCTGCTTGCGCTTCCACAGACACAATGACGCCAGTCGGAATTTTTGGTGGCGAGCGTAATGACTTTTCCGGGTGGATCTACCTGTTCATCTGTTTCTATCTATCTATCTATCTATCTATCTATCTATCTATCTATCTATCTATCTATCTAGCCAGCTCTAAATAAAGAAGCGGGTAATATTATCATTACATTCCCGGTATCTATCTATCTATCTATCTATCTATCTATCTATCTATCTATCTATCAAGAAACGGGTAATATTATCATTACATTCCCGGTATCTATCTATCTATCTATCTATCTATCTATCTATCATCTATCTATCTATCAAGAAACGGGTAATATTATCATTACATTCCCGGTATCTATCTATCTATCTATCTATCTATCTATCTATCTATCTTATCATTAAATTCCCGGTATCTATCTATCATTATCTTCTATCTATCTATCTATCTATCTATCGGGTATATTATCATATTCTCTATCTATCTATCTATCTATCTATCTATCTATCAAGAAACGGGTAATATTATCATTACATTTCCGGTCTCTGTCTATCTATCTATCTATCTATCTATCTCATCGTTGAATATTTTGAGTGTAACTACTTTAGTAAAATATTGCAATAAAAATCATAGATATGAATGCTGGTAGTTATTTAAAGAAGTAAGGGGGTACAAATGAAATGATTTAAAATTGACAACTTTTTCCATTTAACTGAAATAGCCGTAAAAATATATGATACTGTTATCATTTCTTCTATCACTCGTTCTTTCTTTCTTTCTTTCTTTCTTTCTTTCTTTCTTTGAAACCAAACAGCGTCTCTGATATGTCTTTTCTGGCTTTCCGCGTGATCAAACTGAATATTCCATTAATTATTAGGCATTGTCAGGGTGTATCGTACGCGCTAAGGAAGAGACACGCATAATAATAATAATAATAATAATAATAATAAAATAATAATAATAATAATAATAAAGTGCCTCCTTATTGATATGCCAGTCCCTGCTGACTGCAATGTAACTTTGAAGATATTCAAAAAGCTGTCAAAATACAAGGACCTTGAAATAGAAATCTCGAAAATGTTGCATCTGGGAACGTCAACAATCCCTGTTGTAGTTGGAGCCCTAGGGCTGGTTGGAAAAGATTGCAGTAGACTAATTGAAGGGATTCCTGGAAGTCCATGCCTCAAGGAGATACAAAAAATTGTTCTGACAAGTACAGCCCACACTTTACTCTATGTAATTTTTTTTGTCAGTGGAAAGTGTCATGATGCCATTTCTAACCTTAGGTCCCTGGGCGGGACCCGGAAAGAAATGTGTAAACGCCAGAAATCAAAGAAAATAATAATAATAATAATAATAATAATAATAATAATAATAATGACTAAAACTCAGTGGTACAAACGTCATTCTAAACCTGTAACTCAGGGAGAAAGTAACTATTTTTATGGATTTGATTTTTAATGCAGATCGAATAATGAAATCAAATAGACCAGATATAATTGTTAAACATCACCCAAATAGAGTTTGTCTGCTCATCGACATGAGATTGGAATATTTCTTTTGAAAAGAATTCAGGAAGTTAAGTAAAATACAAAGATCTGCAAGTAGAAAATGCAAAAAAAAAAGTCATCTTCAAGCAACTGTCATCCCTGCAACTGTCATCCTGACACTTGGAAAAAAAATCAAATGAGAAATCCTTTTGGCATGAAATCCATAAAATAGTATTGACTGGCACTATTCAAATGTTACGGAGAGCTCTGGCAGCATGTTTGCTGAATGTTTGACTGATGAATGAAAGAATTATTCATTTCTTACCCCAGGTGCCAGGTTGGCACTCGGCAAGTAATTTACCAAAGAAAGAATTTCAAAGGAATTCTTTTTCAATAATAATAATAATAATAAAGCTTTGACATGATAAAGCGGCCTCTCAGCTACAGGGTGTGATGGATAAAGTGTTGTTTAATGTACGCAAAAATGAAAAAAAAAAAAAAAAAAACACCGGCTTCTTATTTTAGCAGATATACAGTGTGCGATGGATAAATTGTCGTCTAAATGCTGCCAAAATGAAAATAACACTGTCATCTCATTTTAACAGATGCGTTTACCAAAATTGCACAAAAATATCTTGAAATACTAAGGAGTAAAATTTATTCAATAAAATTGCTATTGGCTTCAACCACGGCCCTCAGACGACTTCGGAATCTCCTGCAACTCTTCTGGACGGTTTCCCTATTTAAGTTGGTGAATGCTTCCATAATCCTTGCCTTCAGTACATCTTTGATGTTACAAGGAGTTTTGTTGGTCGCCTCGCTCAACTGTCTCTCACACATAATAATCACAGGAGTTACAATGTGGGGAGTTAGGTGGCCACGTGTAAGGGGTAATGTGGTCGCAGAATTTGTCTGACAGCCATGACTGGACACTCTTGCTTGTTTAACATGGTGCAGAATCCTGTTGACAAACATAGGGTCTTCTAGCACCCAATCTGTAGACCCAGGGCAGCACTACCTCCTTAAGGCACTTGAGACAGGCTTCCGTGTTGAGTCTGAGGCCAACTGGGGAAGATGCATGGAGGCATAACGTCTCCGTCACTATATATATATATATACTGTCGCCTGTATATATATATATATATATATATATATATATATATATATCAATGTTAAGTCAGAGCGAATAATTTAATTTAAAGAAAAACAGACTACTAAGGCTCTATTTGTTATAATTTATTTCACCAGAGAATTTTATTTTTCTCTGGATCTTCAGATTTCACGTTCAAAATGTGAAACGAAAAATGAATTTAAATTTTCCTCTTTTTACAGGGGCAGTATTAAGCTTATATGTTGACATAGAAGGTGGTGAGGAATAGTGTGAGAGACATGGTTGAGTTTAGAGAGGGAAGGGAGAGTTTTAAAATTTCTTTTTATATTTCTTTTTATTATAATACTTAATATTGAGGACTGGCCAACAAAAATTTTTGGTATATTAGGTGAGACTATTTCTGGGGTATATTGGGCTCTCTGAAGTCGAAGAGAACATTGGTTTTGTCTAATTGGCTCTAGTTTTTAAGATATTACTGAAACGTGTTTTTCCTGTCCGTGAATCTGTAAGCACTGATACTAATTGGCTTGTTGTATTACTGGTGCATGAATATTTTAACAAAACCACATTTATTATGCTATTTAGACTATTAAAAATGTTGAATAAATGTGTCACTTTTTCTGATTGTATAGTAATCTTGTGCGATTTCAATATTCAAACAGACCGCGTCCTTGAGGCCAAGAAACCAGTTAACAATATCATTGTTGACAAACAAGAAAATTTCCCTTCACTGACGTGGCTGTGAAACAATAATAACATCAAGGCCAAAGAAATTGGCAAGATCAAGATATACACCGATTTCCGGATTGAAGGTTTCCGAATGTGGGTCCTTCATGCTAGTACGGCTTGAGTTATGACTAGGGGCGTGGTGGTCGATACAACCGAATTTAAATCCTATCTCAAAAAAATTGGAATAAATAAATCTGTATGATTCAGCCCTTCGTATATTCTCCAAAAGCTCTTTTGATCTATGAGGTCATACGACTTGATAGAGAATACCCATAATGCAAGGGGTCTCCAGTCGAAAAGGAAAACTGTACAAAAGGAGTTAGTAATGTTAAATCATGGACGTTGTCAAGAATATTTCTTTCAGGTTTGAAGGATTAGGCAAATGAAGCGACTTGGGAGTCACATATAGATGTTTAGGAACACCCTCCAACTATAGACCGCCTGATTGAACTGAGTCACTCGGACTGAATGGTAGTTTTCTCAGCGTAGCTTAGATGCTGCAAAGGTATGGAACATCCAGTGAGTACTGAATTCACTATTCAGTCTATTTATGATCTAGCGAGACAAGCTTGCTAAACTTTACACCACGTGGAAGAAGTGTTCCTCTTTCTGAGTGTAGCTTAGATGTGGCACAAGGCCGAAACCATGGAGGACCCAGTGTGTATTGAACTCACTATTCAGTCGTAATTGATCTAGCGAGACAAGTTTGTTAACCATTGCACCACGTCGAAGTGCCCACACTCTGTTTAATGCATTTCTAATTGGACTCACAAGGAAGCTTCTTTTATTGAAATCTTTTGCCATATCGGATACATTTGGCTGTGATGCATGTGCTTGGTATACTTCTATCAGATCGTGTATCATAGTGAGTATATTGGCATTCATATGATTGATAGGATAAGGAACAATTAACAAACATATCCGCCATTATTTAGTACATGATGTATACACTGCCATTATAAATGTATACACTGCCATTATAAATGTATACACTGCCATTATTTGGCATAAATAATGGACCATTTCGCTTTGATGGCCAGGATAGACGAAATAAAAATATATCATGTTTGATTTTATTGTGAATAATAGAACATACATAATAATAAAAAGAGTGAAGATAATGCTCTCATACGTTTAACGTCTGCTTCAGTGAAATGCGACAAAAGGGAAGCATTTATAAATCTGACATGTTTCGCTTAATAAAATCTTCACCAGAGAATAAAATATGGAAGAGAAAAAGAAAATTCTATTTTTAATTTTTGCTTTGTTTTTCATTGGTTAGGCAGGCCTCACTTGCATCTGTCTTGTAACATCCTTATTATTTGTTCCTTATCGAATTATTTTATCGGATTCCGATCCATATTGGATCTCAATTCACTTATATATTTTGTTGTAACCTAGACAAGGTTACTGAATAGAATAATCAAACGAAGGTTGGTAATGAACGATAAAACCTAGGACAAGAACAACGCATATAAGATTCGCCAGCGGCGCGTAGAAGAAGTATTGCTAAGAGTGAATCAAGTGAATTCCACAATGAATCTCCAACCGCAGAATATCTACCAACCGCCCCACGCGGTCAGATGTGACACAAGGCCGAATTTAATGTGTGTGGGGGGGTATCCGAGCCCAAGAAACGGGGTCGGGTAGATGTTTCCCGAGACGAGTCTTTGCTCTTCGACATAGCCTCGTCTGGGGATCCTCTCTGCTCGGAGGCAGAGAGTTTGACCAGCACAGCTGGAGATGAATCTCCAACTGCAGGATATCTACCAACCGCCCCAAGCGGTCAGATGTGGCACAAGGCCGAATTTAATGCGGGGTATGCGAGCCCAAAGGATCGGCCAAAATATTCCCCGTAGACCCTGTACAAAACGGGTTCGGGTATCTGTTTCCCGAGACGAGAATCTTCCCTTCCTTGACCAGCACAACTGGATACTAATCTCAAACTGCAGGATATTTACCAACTACCCTACGTGGACAGATGTGGCACAAGGCCGAATTTAATGTGGGGTGTCCGAGCCCGTAGGCTAGGCCAAAAATTCCCCGTAGACCCCGTATAAAACAGAGTCGGATAGCTGTTTCCCGAGACGAGACTCTGCCCTTCGACACAATCTCGTCTGGGGATCCTCTCTGCCCGGAAGCAGAGAGTTTGACCATTACAGCTGGAGACTAATCTCAAACTGCAGGATATC